TGGACCCACAGGCAGGAGAGCAGATGGGTGGATGCCCGGGGCCAGGCGGTGGGGCGTGACTGCTGGTGGGGTCAGGGCGTCCGTCTGGGGCGTCCGTCCGGGGCCATGCAACGTCCTGCAACTGAACAGCGACGGCGGTGCACAGCCCTGCGCGTGCCCTGAACACGGCCCAACCACACACTTAGACGTGATCACAACGGCAGGTTTTCTGCTGTGTGTCTTGCCACAGTCAAACCGTAGTGATAAAAACAAGTGTGTCTCCATGGCCTGCTGCAAGGTAGGCGCCCTCCCTGATGCTGTCTCCGTCTTGCCTCCCTTGGTGGCCTCACACTCACCGAGTGGGGGATGGGCAGGAGCCGACACCCCCGCTTCACTGGTGGCAGGTAAACCTCCGGACCTCCCTCCCTCATGCCCATCTCTGTCCTTTCCACGTCACTGGGCAGAATTCTCTTTATAAAGCTGGCTTTCTATCTCCACATCGGTCCACCCCGTGCCTGGCAATTCCTCCCTTTCCGTCAGCAGCCTGACCTGCATCGGCCTCTCGCAGTTGGGCTCCTCACATCATTCCCTTTCATTCCGGACTTTCACGGCTTCTTTTAAAAACTGCTTAGCTTGGACATTTCTGGAGTTACTTCCGGAGGGGGGGCACCCTGAGGGGTGCTGAAGGTCAAAGCCCCCCTGCCTGGTCCCCCCTTTGTGGGCGAACAGGACCGGGAGCCCGGCGGACGCCCGCTCAGGGGCTGGTTTCTGGACCCTCCCAGTCTTCTCTCCCACCTGCACCCCCACGCCACCCAGACAGGCTTAGACGTGCCCGGAAAGGACATCGCGTGGGGGGCTGACACTGACCGAGACGTCCCCTGGTGAGGCCGAGGCTGGGGGCAGAGGCTGTTCAGACGAGGAGCTGGCCACACCAGCAGCCGCACTCACTGTCTCCCCGATTCTCCAGCCCCCACGAGGGGACTGTCCTATCCCTGTTCACAACTGGGGCGCCGGCCACACGGCCTCGGGGGGTGGTGTCTAGACCTGCCACCTGTGCCACAGACCCCCAGGGCTCAGCTGTAGGGGCGTGGACGTCTGGAACGAGCGGGCCAAGGCATCGGCAGCTGCCAGGGGCTGGGCAGAGCCCCTCTCCCCTCACCAAGTCCTGGAAGTGGACATGGCCACAGGGGAGCCACACAGAGTACCCACTTCCTGGCAGATGAACTGAGTCACACATGTGACATCCTCCCTGGATGAGGGGTAGATGGGACAGTGCCAGTGGTCCTGGGTCCCCACCTTTTGCCCACTGCCCAGGGGCGCGGGTTGGGGAGCCGCACCCTGGGTCTCCCTCAGCTTCCTTCCCGCTCGGCTGGGGGCCAGGCCTCCGGGTGCATCCTCACTCCCTGCCCAGCCTATCTGCCCACACTCAGGTCCTCTGCCTCTTCGTTTTTCCCCACCAAGCTTAAGCCTCCCCAGGGAAGGGGGCTTCCACAGCTGCCTTGGGGTTGGCCGGGGATGGAACACCCTTGTCTCCTCCCTACAGCCTTGGAGGTGCTCTGAGCTCAGTTCAAGTTGTGTGCTCTTCACACCTTGGTGGAGACCCTTCCTCCAGGAAGCCCTCCTGAGCCTCCCTCTCCTGCCTCCCGTCTATGCTCTGGGCTGATGCACCTGGAAGAGGGGTCCCTCACCCTCCCTTCCTGCATGTAGGGTGGGGACAGCACCTTCCCTTCCCTGCTTCTCGGCCTCTCAGGCATCTGCTGTGGCCATAGCCCAGCTCAGGGCCAGCTGAGCCACCTCAGGTCCTCCTGTTAGTACAATGTTCTGCTGGCCCAGGAGGGAGACAGCCAGGGATGCCCTTGCCCTTGCACAGCAGGTAAACCTTTCAGAGGCTGGAGAGCTCCCAGGTGGGAGGGCACAGACGGGGGTCTGAGAAAGCCAGATGGCTGGGTTTCTGCTCCGGTGCCTTGGGTCCCTCAGGGCCCCTCCACCTTCCCATCTGTGTGTGACCTCGGGCCTCCTGGAGGCTGTGACGCTGAGGGGTGACAGACTCCTGTTTCCCTATCTGGTGACTTTTGGGCCAGGAATAAAGTGAGGGGGACCTCAGGAGGGCTGGGTGGGACCCACCAGGCCCACCATGAATGGCGCCACAAGAGGCCCCTGAGACTTCTGTGGCGTGGGCCACCGCCATTTCTCTGTGTGGAAGCCCTGCTCCTGGGCTGTGGTCACAGGCTCTGAGGCCACCTCCCAAATGGCCCCAGGCCAGGTCTGCGAGATGTCCTCTGGGAGCTCAGGGTGGAGGCCAGGGCGGACTCTGGCCCATCCTTCGGGCCCTGGGTGGGCACATTCCCTCCTAACCATCCCTGTCATCGGGGTGCCAGTCATGAAACTGTGCCGCTGCCCCCTCACCCCCACAAGCCCCACTGCAGCCTGGCGACTTCGGCCCTGCCCTCCTCTCACCTGGGTCCCGACTGGGGAGCTGGTAGAGGCAGAGAACCTCTTTGACCATGGGCAGGGAGGAAACCCACTGCCCGTTTGCCAGGGACCCAGCTGACCTGTCCTCCCTCAAATCCATCATAAAAGGGACGCTGGGGTGAGAAGGTCCACCCACGGGGTGCAGAAGGTCCAAGCTGCGGTGGGGAGACCTGGGCTTGCCCCTGGCCTGTGAGGGGACTTCCCAGAAACAGTGGGACTCATGTCCTCCCTTCCAGCTCCTGCTGAGGCCCTGGGGCTGAGGCTGAGCTGAGGGCTGTTTGGGAATCCTGCCTGCCGCCTCCCAGCTGTGTGGTCTGCCTGTGACTCAGCGTCCCTTCTGTGCACAGGAAAAGTAGACACCAGTGGCCTTGTGACAGCCAGGTGCAGGAGGCCTGGGAGGGCTCGTGCAGGGCCAGCCTGCAGGCGCTGGGGGCTGGGTGTCATATCCCCCATGATCTGCCACATTAGCTGCCTCTCCCTGAGCGGCAGCCCTGGGCCCAGGCCCCTACAGGCCTGAGTTCACGAGGGGCTGACCCCAGAGGGAGAAGCACACTGGGGAGTGTCCTCCCGGGCTGCCCTGGGAGGAAGGAGTGCCCTGTCCCTGGGGGTGAGCAAGCAGAACTGGAAGTGGTGGGGGCCACAGGGCCTCTGGACCACACTGCAGGCTCCAAGCCACTGTGCGAACTCAGCTGGAGAGAAGGGTGCCAGGCAAGGACCTCGTCCCCAGGAGCCTCGGCAGGTCCCAGGACTCAGTTTTCCAGTAGCGGATGGGATCTGGAAACAAAGAAGCCCGATAAACCAGTGTGCGCACCACCCCGTGCTGGAACGCGGCAGCGCCACCCGCCCCCAGCACACTGTGCGCGCTGCACTCCCTGCGGCCTGCCTGGGGGTTCACGCCCCGAGGACCCGTGAGGTCCGGGGGGCTGTGTAGGGTAGGAGGGAGCCAAGTGGGTACTGGTCATCCCCAGCATTGGGCATTGGGTCAGCTGTGGCCACCACAGTCCCACACGGTGGCTGGCACAACCCCGCTCCTCAGATGGGGAACAGGCTCAGAAATGGCCTGGCCACAAGGCAGATGAGGGCAGGGCCACCTCCAACCCCGGGAGTCATTGCAGAGTGTCTGGACGTCCTTGCCCCTGCACTTCCGCTTTGGACCAAAATTGCAGAGGGATGGAGGTCTGCGGTTGACAGGCCAGGGTCCAGCCTCCTGACAGGCAAAGCCCTGCTGGTCCAGCCTCACTGCAAGCCAGGTTGGCCCTGGGGCCCTGCTTTGGAGACCATGTCACAAGGTGGGCTAGAGTGGGACCGCCACACAGGCAGGACCCTCCTCCCGCCCCTTGCTGGCCTGGGGAGGTCCAAGGTCACCAAGCTCTGCTCCAGCCCCTGTGATCCTGAGGGCTCCTGGGAAGAGGGCCCAGGCATCTCGGCCACCTGCTGACCGCAGGGGAGAGTCTCAAAAGCAGGTTCTAAATAAGAGGTGAAAGTGGTGCCCTCTGAGTGGGCCGCATGTTTGCTGCCCTTGGAGGAAATCGGGGCACAAAGAGACTGGAAGACTCTCCTCAGGCCACATCAGCCCCGAGGGTCCCCTGACCTCCCGTGCATGAGAGCAGACTCTGGCTCACCCTCTCACTCTGGGTCGGGAAAGTCTCAAACTTTGGTCCCCAAAGCCCACATGTATAAAGCACCTACTCTGTGCCACGAGGTGTAAGTGCCATCAGCACAGTAAGGGGTACCACTGCGGGGGGTCAGGGCCCAGGGAGGAGGGCACTGCTGAGGTAAGGGCGGCTGGAGCCCAAGCCGATGTGTCTGAGGAGGTTCCAGGCCTCCCGTGGCCCTCCTGGGTGTGGTGCGGGGCGGATGGTGGAAGGCTGGGCTTCCCCCAGACTATGCTGGGAGGTATGGGTGTCCTGCTAGGAGGACTGGGGTTGGGGGGTCCTGTAGGAAGAGTGAGGACTGGAGGGGTCAAGGGCTTGGTAGAAGTGGGAGGACCCAAAAGCATGGCATTTTGTGGCCAATGGCGCCCTCTGCTGCCCATATGGGGTATCACCCGCGTGCTGAAATTCCCCTTCAGAATGGGGATGAGGAAGGAGGATCTGGGCCCAAGACCAAGTGTACTTCTAGCCCCCTCCCCCCACCCAGGCCTCAGCTATAAGCCTGGCCCTGGGTGGCCTTAGGGTACTGTGCCCAGGACAGAAGCCTCCTCCACGTGGAGCAGATGTAGAAATCTGACTCCAGGCTCCTGAGGGAGGCTGAATTCAACTCCTCATCAAAGATACTTCCATGGGGGAGACCCCAAAGGGACCTCTGGTCCTAGGTGCAATGCTTCCTCCAACCAGATGCCAGACAGGATGGGTGGGATGAGAGCCTGCCTGGTTCTTTAAGAGAGCCAATAGGGGAGGGTTCCTGTTGCCTAGCAACAGGAGGGCTTGGCATTTACCTGTCGCTGGGAGACCTGGAGACTTCCTACTCTGGAGACGCAGTGGCCAGAGCTGCCCCGTTGACCTTGCAAAGTTCCTCTCCCACCCACCTGTACCCAGGCCAGTGGCACCATGGCTCAGACGGATGTGCTCCTGACCAAGCAGCCGGCCCCGCAGACAATACCGGCCTGCGAGCTGCCCCTCAAGCTGTACGATGTGGCCCGAAACACAGGTGCCTACACGTCCTCAGGCCTGGCCACTGCCGGCTTCCGCACAGCCAAGTATCTGGTAGATGAATGGTTCCAGAACTGCTATGCCAGCTACTACCAGGCCTTTGCCGACCGCGACCAGTCGGAGCGGCAGCGCCATGAGAGCAGGCAGCTGGCTGCCGAGACAGAGGCGCTGGCGCAGCGAACGCAGGCAGACTCTACCCGGAAGGTGGGCGAGCGCCTGCAGGACATACACTGCTGGAAGTCAGAGCTGCAGCGCGAGGTGGGGGAGCTGGTTGCAGAGACTGAGCTGCTGCTGGCCCAGAAGCAGCGGCTGGAACGCGCCCTGGATGCCACCGCTGTGCCCTTCTCCATCGCCACCGACAACCTGCAGTGCCGCGAGCGCCGCCAGCACCCTGACCTCGTTAGCGACTTTGTGGAGAAGGAGCTGCTGAAGGTGTGAGCCCCTTTGGCTTTCAGGGATCCACAGACCCAGGCCACCCTCACCTCTCTGCAGGGAGAATGACCTGCCTGGAACCTGATGGTGGACACGAGTGTATCCCCAAAACACAGGCTGGCAGAGGCCTTGGTGCCCATGCCCCTCTGCACACATAGGAACAGAGAGGCTGGCTCTGTACGTAGGTTAGGGACCAGAACTGGCTGGGTGCTGGGGCGACCCAGGCAGAGGGGAGGGTCAGGGCTCAGACTCCCCAGGAGGCAGGTGTCCCTGCCACCAGGAGTGTCTCTGGTCTGACCTTCCCGCAGCCTGGGTCTCACCATAGGCTTGGGGTAAGGCCAGGCTCCCTTCAGGGAGCACTGCAGCCCATTCACGCTGGGTTAGGGGCCTGTGTCCTGGGAGCCCCAGCATGGGGCTCCAGCACATATGGGGACTTGGGCTGAGGCTCGGCCCCCTGTAGCGTCCACTGGAGTGGGGGCAGGGCGGAGGCTGTGGCAGGATTTGCACCTGGGACATTGCACCTGGGACAGTGTTGGGGACATTTGCCTGTTGATGGGACAGTCAGAGGCTGCTGAGGCAGGGCGGGGCCCAGCCAGTCCATCCCCTGAGCCCTGACACCCCTTTACATAAACCCCGAGGATGGAGAGGGGCCTGAGCTGAGTCCTGGGGGCAGCCGCCTGAGATCTGGAGCATGTGCAGGGTCGGGGGGCCTTTCTTGGTCCCTGCATCCAGTGGATGGTCCCTTGGTCACCTCAAGTTCTGCTACCTGATAGGCAGCCCCTTGGGTCACCCTGATCATGCAAATTAAGCCTGACCCTGAGCTTCAAGAGGCTAAGTCCTCCCCACCGGAGGATACCGGTGGTGGAAATCCAGGCACCAGTCAGTGGTATGATGTGGATGGGGTAAGAATCGGGGGGAGGCTACATTCATTCCACAAGGATTCCCCCCACCTGGCAGAATCTGTCCTGAGAAAGCCCCATTAGAATCAGGGGGTTACCCAGCCCAGGTAGGGTTACCCTTGGTCCTGGTGAGGCAGAGTTCCCACACCTTTCAGAGCCTGAGGCTTTATCTATGAACAGGCTGAAAGAAGTGGGCATGTGTGAGATTCAGAGAGACAAACAGCTGTCCCAGAGGCTCCAGACATCCCTTGCACTGTCCCCGAACGCTCTGGCCGGAACCCTGAGTCCTGCCCCTCACCCTCCCACCTTCCCCCAAGTCCCCAACTCCCTCCTCGGCCCCCAACAATTGACCCCCTACACCCAGCTGCTCCAGAGCTCCCCAGTCTCAGGCTGTAGCCCCTCCGTCCTGAGCCAAGGCCAATGGCCCAGTATCGCCTGAGCCACTTGAGCAGTTCACGAACAGGAACACAGACCAGGGGACAGACCCAGACACACTTGCGTTTGGTGCAGGACTGGAGGCAAAGATTCAGATCGGGGGAAAGGAAATGGAGCTGTTGAGGTAGCAGCATAAAGACAGGCAGGGAATCTGTCGTGGGTGATGTGGGGAAGGTCTCTTTGCATCCACAACCCCAAGGGGTAGCCCTGCCCAGAGGAGCACCTGCTCCCAAGGGCCCTAGGTCCTCAGAGACCGGAGGCCTGGCTGTCCAGGGGCTGATGCCCACAGTGCCCTGGGTAGGCTACGGGGACAGCCCCCTGAGTCCAGGGGGTACTGGTGCCAAACGAGTGGGAACAGCCCCTGGGTGACCCTCCCAGCAGTCCTTCAAAGCCCCCGAAAGAAAAGACCCTATGCTGAATAGAATATTGAAAAACACCAAATAAACCTTGTGAGGAAGAGCAGGATTCATGCCCCATTTTCCAGGAAAAAGACCAGGGGTCAACAAGTCCCAAGGCCAAGGCCATTCAGCCAGAGATCAAGTGACAGCTGAGCCCTCCACTCCCCTGGACATTACCCTAAGCTTCAACCCCTCCTGGGCATTTCAGAGGCTGACTGTGGGCCCACAGCAGCCCTGTCTGCCGCCACAGCTTTACTAGGGGTGTGCGGTTCCTCCCCCAGGAGGCTGAGCTCATCCGGAACATCCAGGAACTGCTGAAAAGGACCATCATGCAGGCTGTGAACCAGATTCGGTGGGTCTCCAGCTGGCAGGATGACCCCCCCACCGTCCCCCCACCCGTTAGACTGGCTTTGAGCATGAAGTCAGGGTGATCTGGCTCTGAGGCTCAGAAAGATGGGACCTTGCTCTAGGTCACAGCCGGGAGTGCCTGCTGGGCAGGGGCCCCAGGTGGGTGTGGAAGTAGCGGATTCCTGCATGGCTTGGGGGACCTGGGTGTCCACGTAGCCCAGGCCAGCCTCCTGGGGAGGAAGGGGCAGCTGCTCTCGGACACTGCTGGCTAGGTGGGCCTTGAGTCCTGAGGACTCCACACCAGGCAGGTATATGCCTATGGCATGGGGCGGGGCGGGGGGCTTGCCCTGCAGCGTCCCAGTAGGCCCGGCTTCCCCAGCCCTCTGCACAAACTCAGGCTCCTCTCCGCTGCCCCCAGGCTGAACCGGGAGCACAAGCACGTGTGTGAGATGGACTGGTCTGACAAGGTGGAGGCCTACAACATTGATGAGACCTGCGCTGGGTACCACAACCAGAGCACGGAGGTGCAGTTCCACCCGCACTCCACTAAGTTTGAGGAGAGGTGGGCCACCCCATCCCCTCCCAGTGCTCCTCCCCTAGTCCCCACACCTTTACTCTTGCAGACCGCCCCCCCACCCCGGCCCCGCCTCAGGTCCTGGCTCCTCCCCAGCGCCCCTCGCCCCTGGGGCTCTCACCAAAGATAGCCCCCTTGAAGCTCTTCTGCTCCCGAGGATGGGCATGATCAGGATCCCTGCCCAAGTGCCCACCACCACACAGTCAGCAGAGGGGCTGGTGGAGCTGCAAAGGGAGACAGGACCAGGGGTTGGGGGCTGCCAGAAACGGGGATGAGATGGGGGTGGGGAGTGGAGGAGGGACGGCAAGCCTGGGAAACAAGAACAAAGACGACTGACTTGCAGGTCCACGAGAGGCCGGCAGGGGGAGCTAGGCCACCCCATTGTAGCGCAGCAGGGCTGGACGCGGGGAAAGCTGGACGCAGAGCGGGCGCAGGGAGGCGCTGGAGGGCGCTGGGCATTGCTGTGGTTGTGGTCACAGGAGGCGCGGTGAAGCACTGTGGCTGGGCGTCGGGGGGTGGGGCATGGTCTGTGCTGGGAGCCGGGGACAAGGGGTGGGCCTGGTGGGAACCGGAACAGTTGGCAGGGTGCCCACCGGCCGCTTCCACCCCGCAGCGCCTCCACGCCCGAGACATGGGCCAAATTCACACAAGAAAACTTGGTCCGCGCCGAGCGCGAGCGCCTGGCCTCCTGCAACCTGCGGGAGCTCATTGACTGCATCCTGCGGGACACTGCCGAGGACCTGCGACTGCAGTGCGACGCGGTGAACCTGGCCTTTGGGCGCCGCTTGGAGGAGCTGGAGGACGCACGCCACAAGCTAGAGCATCACCTGCACAAGGTGCAGACAGACGCACCCAAACCACACCCGTGGCCATGTCCAGAGCAGCCCGGAGTTCTGGGTGCCCATAATCAGAGAGACACTAGGCTCCTTGTGCCCTCCACCCCTGGCCCCTGTTCTGGCTACTATGCCCGGGTCACAACATAGCCTCGCCCCTGCCCCTCCTCTTGCCCTCCCATTCTGAGGGACCTCAGAGGCAGGGCTCCCCTCACTAAGCCAGTGAAAAATTAGGTGATGTCAGAGGTGGTCTAGTGGAGTGACCAACCAGGAGAGGCTGTCAGGTACGAGCAGGAGGAGAGAAGAGGGGAGGAGGTGGTCTGGGCCTGCCAGGGCTCTCACCCCTGACACGGCCTGTTAGGGTGGCCTGTGCTCCAAGTGTCTCTGGTTGTTGGCTAGGGTCAGGGCTGGAGACTGCAGGGCCGGGGGAGTTCAGGCCAGAGCTGCCAGACAACAGGCTTTGCTGTCAGCCCAGCCCCCAGGTGCCCTTGGGCAGGTCGAGGCAGCTGTGCGTGCCTCCCTGCCTGCTCGCCTCCTCCAGAGCCAGTGGGCAGGTTGCTTCCTGGGCCCAGCTCCAGGGCTCAGGGAGGAGGCCAGGTCCATTCTGGCAGCCTGCTTTGCCTGGGGCCCATGGGGACTGTCTCGTGTACAGACGCTTCGAGAGATAACAGACCAGGAGCACAACATGGCCGAGTTGAAGCAGGCCATCAAGGAAAAGGAGGTGCCACTGAAGGTGGCTGAGACTCGCCTGTACCAGCGCTCGCACCGGCCCAACGTGGAGCTGTGCCGGGACACCGCCCAGCTCAGGTACAGCCCTGGAGCGGGTCGGGCCACCGCCCCCGACCCAGGCCCCTGCAGGCCCCCCTCAGCCCCAGGGACCCCCATGAACACCCCTGCCCTGTACACACAGACCCACAGATGTGTTGAGGGGACACTGGGGCCTCAGACCAACACAGCTCATGCAAGCAGGCATTTGCATGTCCCCACTCCCACCCAGCCCTCTGGACACTGCACAGGCCCTGGGGGTCACTGTGTCAGGGCTTTGAGTGCCCGGGACAGTGGGGCACTTCCCACTCCACCCAGTGCTGTGCCATCTTCCCAGTGAGGAGTCTCGGGGTCTCAGAGGCTGAGTCCCCCTGCGTCACGGACCAGTCCACACCTCTGAAGTCACAGGGCCCACAGCCTGGGCTGGAGCCGTAGGTGGGATCCTGTCTTTTGTTTTTCTGACTCAGGGAGTGCCCCTCTGCCCCTGTGAGCAGAACGACCCCGCTGCCCCCACCCAGCTCGCCTTGGCCTTGTCTCTTGGTTTGTTCAGGAAATGGGCTTTACTCAGCTCCGCGGGCGTGTCCAGCCTGCTTCCAAACGCCAGGAAGAGAATGCAGCACGGGGAGCCTTCGGGCCTCTCCCGGCCTCGGTCACTCCCCTTCTCTGCTTGTGGGCTAACACTGGGGACCTTTGGGGTCTTTTACGTGTATCTGGGCCAAGACCCCCCGCCAGGGTTTCTAGCCTCTGAATCTCAGGCCTCGCCCCTCCCATCCCGAAGGCCCAGTGTTCTGGTAACGGCCCAGCTCACACCTCCTTCCTCCATATCCCCCAGGCTGGTGAGCGAGGTAGAGGAGCTGAACATGTCCCTTTCAGCACTGAGGGAGAAGCTTCTAGAAGCAGAGCAGTCACTGCGCAACCTGGAGGACACGCGCATGCGCCTGGAGAAGGACATCGCCGTCAAAACCAACAGCATCTTCATCGACCGCCAGAAGTGCATGGCCCACCGTGCCCACTACCCCACCGTCCTCCAGCTGGCTGGTTACCAGTGACCCAGGCTGGTGCCACAGAAAGCGGCCCCCTGTCCTCGGCCAGACACAGGCAGGCACCTGCCCCCCACCCCTCAAATAAAGAGCATGTTAGCTTTCCACTTGTGGCGTGGGCTCTGAGTAGAGCCTTGGAAGGGGCGATTCCTCGTGCGCAGGGCGGGCCCGGTTACCACCGTGGAGAGGGGTCAGCCGAGGTTGGTAGAAACCCTACCTCATCACATCACTCAAGCTAACCACGTGAGACCAGGTCCCTCCCCAGCTCCAGCCATAGCCCAGGCCTAGACGGTCTCTCTGCCCATCTGGACCACCTGCAGGATGCTTCAGAGTGAGGGTCCCCTCTCATCCCACCAAAGCCATACCACTCGTAACAGCCTCTGGTTGTTGCAACAATAACCTGCTCTTGGCCTTCCGTGGGCCCTGGATGTTGTCATGGCAAGGCTCTCCCCTCGCCAGTGGGAGGGGAGCCTGGGGCGGAGGTGTCAGGACGTACCACTAGCCTGCCTCTTCCCTGAAGGACTCCACCTGGGGGCTTCCGGCATCCGAGGTGCCTCAATACCCCTGGATGGTGCCGGGCCCCTGGGAAAACCCTCAGGACCTCTCCCTGCACCTGGCACAGGGCAGGCACCGGGGAAGGCAGACCCTGGCTTGGGAGGCGGGAATGTCTGGAGGGCCTTCATGCCCAGCCACCTTGGTTACCTTTGGGTGGCCAGTCTCCTTGTCCAGCACCCTTCTCAGCCGGCTAGTGAGTCAGGCAGGGGTGTGGCTGCAAGGAAACTGCAGAGTCCCTGCTACCCAGTTGGTGCCATACCACTCTGCACCCTGCGGCCACTTCTCTGGTCGGAACGGTGCTCCCCAGGGAGGGCCAGGCACTTTGTGGGGAGGTGGGGTGGCAGTGAGGCTCCCCTTGTTGTGCCTCCCCGCCCTCACCTGCCCACTCTCAACACCCCCTCCCTCCCCCCACTGCTGCCTCTTCACCAGCAGCAGCTCATAGACAGGACTCTCCGGGACACTGCCATTAAGAGGCCCGGAGATAATGGCTCCCACTGCGCCGACTCCTGCCACTTAGACCCCGTTACCACCCTGTGGCCAAGGCGGCGTCCCCATCAGTGCTGCTGGCTGCCCTGTGCAGGTTTCCTGAAGGGTGGCAGCTGATGGGAGCCCAGTGAGGGGGGCCGTTTGAAGCTCATTATTTCCAGAGCTTGGCGGTGAGACCAGGCAGGGAGGGTGACAGGTGGGGTACCGGGGGCCGCCTGACTGCTGGGCTTCGCTGTGCGGTTCTCTGTGAGGCTGGAAATTGTGTCATCCTGTGGAGAGCACTGACCGGGCCCCGGAGCGGCACCATGGCTCCAGGCAGCAAGTGAAATTCTCTGTGGGGCTTGGGGTGGGGGTGGACAGCTATGTCCACCCCAAGCTGGCCAGTTGCCAACAGTAGAAATTCAGCCTCTGCAGACCCTTTGTGGGCAGCTGACCACATGGGGCCACAGCAGCCGCCGCCCCGCCGTTGTCACGGAGATGTCGGGCAGCACGTCTAAGTGATGGCTATTTCTGTCCAGAAGCCTCGTCCTCCTGCCACCCGCTGAGTCACCTGCGGTGCTTGCTGACCACCCCCGTGCAGGGCCTGGCCGGCCTGCCGGGGGCAGTGGTGCACCCAGCCCGGGCCCCAAAGGCCTTCGCTCAGCCCCCACCCACCTGGCACGCCAGGCGCACTGAACTCCCCGCATCCTCCCCGAAGGGGGGGCTCACGGTGAACGCCCACCTCCCTTCTGGGGGGCTGCTTTGCCTGTTGGAGTCGGGGCGTGGGCAGCGGGAGCACGGGGTCAGACATCAGCCCCACAGCGTGGTGAAGCTTCTGGCATCCTGACGGCTGTGCCTCCCCCATGCCCATGCCGCACAGGGTCCACTCCCTGCACTTCTGGGCCCGTGGGTACGCACTTGCAGGTGGGAAATCAAGGCTCGGAGGCAGGGGGCAGCAGAACTTGGGCACCTGCCTCCCTCTGGGGGCCTCAGAGGTAACAGCTGTGTGGGCAGAGAAGAGCCCCCAGCCTGTCCTGGGCCCACAGACTCCACAGGGACATGGCGATGAGAGGCAGGGCCCTGGCCATGCATGGCCTTGAGTGCCGCCTGCTGAACTGCCTCGGGTCTCAGAGGCAGACCACAAGGCACAGGGGCTGCAGGGAGGCAAGTCAGCACTCAGGGCCTGCGGCTTCACTCCCCCTCTGTCTGTGCCACCTTCCAGGTGAAGACAGCTGTCCCCAAAGGGAGTGGCAGGGCCTGCCGGAGTAAGCTGTCATCTCCTGGGGGTGGGGCCAGTCTGGGAACTGGCTCCAGCTGGTGCAGCTCCCACCACAGCCCTCACCAGTCCCAGTCACCCTTAGCCTGGCATAGCAAGGCCCCCACAGGTGGGGCCACCGCAGCCTCCCTGGCCCCTCCCATTCGTGCCCCAACCTGGCGGTCAGTGAGGAGGGCCGGGGGTGGGGAGCTGTGGAGAGAACTGAGCCTGTGGCTGGGCCCGGATAGCAGGAATGGGTTCCTGCAGCAGCTTGTCTCCCAGGCCACGGCTGGTGCCTGCCCCACACGGGGCCTGGCTTGGTGTGAGGGGCGTACACTTCCCAGGAATTGCATGTCCTCATGTCCACAGGCCAGGGCACAGGGTTCTGCACCTGGGTCCCATACCCAGCTATCCAGACTCAAAGCAGGGACCAGGCTAGGCCTCAGCGTGGGCTCAGCTTCAGGTTCATGGTGGGTGGAACCCTTGCCTGTCACTCCCTGGGAGGCCCTGTGAGTCATTCCCACTGGTGGGCATAACAGGGACAAAGCCCTTACCCGCTGACAGGGTAGGCCGATGCTGAGTGCCCCCCAACAGGGTGCCGTGCAGGCTTCTCCGTCTGCTGGGCCCCCTGACCTGGCAGAGCAGAGGCAGAGGCCATGGGCCTGCATAGACACTGCTCCTCTGGGCTCCGTCCTTCAGCCCCAGCCCTTACTTCCCAGCCAGAGACAGGAGGTTGTCCCTGTCACTAGCTGGTCCCTGGTCTGCCCTGCCCCACTTTGGCCTCTGTCCTCCTGATCAGTGTTCTCCTAGCTGCAACTCTGGCCTCTCCTGTCCCACCCTAAGTCACTGCACCCTAAATGGAGGAGGCGGCCAGCCCATGGCACCATACCCCAACCTGCCAGTCCCTGACCCCAGGTCCCCAGGCCTACACCATGGCACAGGGCTGGAAGGAGGACCCTGGAGCCCCTGTGGCAAGGCTGTGCAGGCCCTTTGGCAGGTGGCCAGCTGGCAGAGGGAGGCCAGTGGCAGGCGGCAGGGCCCTGTGAGCCTCCTACAGGGAGTTCTGAAGCTGGCTGGAGGCCTGTTGGTCTTGGATGGCCCAGGGGAAGCCGTGGGCGCCTGGCTGGGGTGGGTGGGGGGACATGAAAAGGCTCTTTCACAGGCTGCTGGGGCAGTGACGCTGGAGACAGCCAGACAGGCAGCAGCACCGACCGTGAAATGGTAACAGGGAGCAGGGGGCGCGCTGGGTATTCATAGCCACCCTGGGCAGGATGGGCTTGCAGGCGTCTGTGCTCCCCCTAGACCCCAACAGGAGGGAAGCTCCAACCTAGGCTGTATTCGGGGCAGGCCAGGCGGCCAGGATGCCCAGGACCCCGGACTGCCGGTGGGACAAGGTGGGGCTCCAGTGGCACAGGTGGGATCCCTTGGAGACACCCACCGCTGTCAGATCCCTGCGTGGGAGGAATCCAAGGGGGCCTTGCAGGGTCTCCTGGGCTCTGGGGGGTGGGGTGGGGTGGGGAGGTGGGTGGAGAGATGGGGGTCCCATCTGCCAGGGAAGGTAAGCTTGAAAGTGGGTCCCAGACCCTCTGTGCAAGAGGAAGGACTTTGCCCAGGACCGATGTTCTAGAGGGCTCCCTGGAGGAGGCTGCCTGGGTCTTCGCTCAGCAAGGTTGGGCTACAGGGAGGAGGGGTGACCCTCACCTCAAACTCTGACCTTTGGCTGAGCCTCCTGGGTGCAGCCTCTGGAGAGACCAGGATGGGCAAGACTCACTTGCTGGGGGTAAACTGAGGCCCAGGTGCATGCAGGGCTCACCCAGGGGCCCCAGTAGCGGCTGGTTGAACCGGGAAGTGGTGCCCCTCCTGGCATGAATAGGCCAGGGGTTGGGGTGTCCCAGGGAAGGGTTTGAGAAGGCGAGAGGCCCGGGACTGGTGGGTGTTACACACCATCTTTTCCATGACAGGGTGAAGGGTCACATGAGGTAGCCCTTCCTCTCTCCCCTGGGAGCACAGGACTAGGGTGCTGCTCTCTGCCCAGCTAGGCAGCAGGCAGAAGTGGCCCCACGTAGGCCCCTCCAAACCTGGGACCCAGGCCCATCCTCAGAGGTCGGGGTACTGCCCTTCTTTGAAGCTGCCCCACCCCAAGGGCTCTTCGAGCCTACAAAAGGGTGGGGTTTCAGAGGGCTGAGTCTGAGCCCCCCTTTGCCGAGGCAGCTCCCGTTGATCTGCCAGGCGTCGGGTCCCCATACACGAGGGCTTTGGGGACCAGGGCTGCCAGGCTGCAGGCAGTTAGGGTGCCTGCTACATTGGAGAGTTAAGGCCCTCGGAGGCGTTGGGGCCACAGAGGGAGCAGCCCCTTAGAACCTGAAAACACCAACTCAGACTGGGTGGGGCTGCCGAGGCCACTTTGCTAAGGCCTCTAGGAGGGCAGGTGTGAGTGGTCCCCTGTGCAGGCCCCTCAGATGGGTGGTGGCCCTGGTGGTCCTGCAGGAGGATTCTGAGGCCACAGCCAGGCCTGGGTGAAAGAGTGTGGGGCTCCACCAGGAATGTCTGTCAGAGGTGGGGCGCTTAGAATCGGAGAAGGGTGAGCCAGGCCTCTGTCTGGGGCAGGATGAGCTCCGGCCCTGCCCACTGCGGCGCCTCAAGGGCCCCCTGCTGTGACCCACATAGGTCCCATCTGCTAGCTCCCTAGAGAAGGGGGCACGGCTGGCTGCTGTGGGGTCGGGGGGTGGCGCTCGGCGGGGCATCTCCTTCTCAGACACCCTCTCCTTCTCCCCACTCCACTCCCTGTCTCCTAGGCTGTGGTCCAGAT